CCAAAATTTACACCTAACACCCAAAATTCCAAAAATTATGACAATTAACTCCCCAGGCTAACATCCCTAAATTATTATGGATTTAAGGCTCGAAAAAAATAATATAAAAAATACATTTCTCATCCCGGGGTTTATTTATTTATTTAGTTAATTTAATATTATTTAGTTATTTAATAAACAAGGTGTTACAGATCTACTATAAAAACATGATTTATATAAAAAAGTTATTTTTTAGAAGAAATATAAGATGATACTTCTAGCTTTTGAAAGAAAACCGTTATAAAAATTAGTAATCTTAATCTAAAATCAAAACTTTACAAATCCTAATCACAGTTTAAACTCCTCATATTCAAAAAGCCCACAAATTCTACTATATCTAAACTTTTATAAATCCCACAAATAACGAAGAAAACAAAGCTAAAATGTTAAAACTAAAAGCCCTAAATGTGACACTCCATTCTTCGATTGCCGCCTTAAAGATGACTCTGGTTAATGTCGGAAACCTTATCCTCATGTCGCCCATGTGTGTCTAAGAGCATACGGTGCGGGCAACGAGAAGTGAGGTTATGGCTAAGGTGACACCTCATAACATAGTGAACACCCCCTTCTCCTCCCCTTTCCCATTAAGGGGGTGTTATGGCATATCTCGTTGTGAAGAAGACGAGATGAAACGAGAAGTTTAATTAATTGTTGCCTTTATCATAATCATTTTCTTTCTCTCTCTACCTCTTAACATGTTTTAACATGTTATAACATAGGGAACATCATTCCCCCTTGGCGTTATGATTGAGGTGGCATTTAAATTAAGTGTTGTAATGTGACTCATACCTAATGCTCTAAGTAAATGCACATCTTTGTGATAAGATCGGTTCTTAGTATAGATTAGATACAATCTCTTCAATTAAGGGGTATACTAGTATAGATTAGTATATATACAACATTAGGGTGAAACCCTAATGTAAGTCTTGGAAACCGTCTTTGTGACAACCTGTTTTCTTGGTGAAAACAAAACTCTTTCTTGGTGAAAGACAATTTTGTGAATATCTCGTGATCTTTACTTTTTATGTTCTTTGTTTGTTTAAGTTAATTTACTTAATCTTTGTTTATTTTACTTGAAATGTATCCGAATGATACTAATCTCCAATTGGTATCAAAGCAGGTTTTCGATACACTCAAGTTATCATGTCGACTTCCTACAATCCCAAGTCTTTTGGCCTCAACAAAACTCATGCTTTCGATGAGCACAACTTCGTTGGAGGCTAATGAATGAAAGCAACCTTGAGAGTCAAGGATGTATAAATAGTGCACAAACCCAAAATATTAGGGTTTTGGTCCAGGCCATGTATGCCCAACATACACTTAGGTACGCCCAACGTACGCAAGGAGTTCTCAAATTTTACAAAAATGTCATGTGGAACCAAATTTGCAAACAATACTCATACCAATTGTCAAAATGTAAAATACCTTGAAATTGAGATGTTACAACAAGAACTACTATTAATATAAATATAAGTTACACTTAAAGTATAGTAAGTGTAGCTTAACTTACAGGAATTTTAGCAAAAACCGAGAAATTGCACGGGCAGAACTCCGACCCAAAAGCTCATTTTCGTTGGGCTCCTAGACTCATTAGAGTTCCACTAAAATATCTCAAGAAACCCAAAAAAATCAAACTACAAGAAGAAAATGTCTTCAGAGATAAATGGGAGTGAAAATATGTGAAAATAATGGAAATATGGGATGCTTATATAGTCATCAGGATGCGTGTCACGCACCTTTCTGAAGGTGCACCGTACGTTGGTGCTATGTTGTTCCCCCAGAAAATGTCGCGTGTGGAAAGTCTATCGATCCACGCCACCCCCTTCTTGAACACAGGTGTGCCACTCCCCCGTTCCGTGTGCACGCACACTGTAACGTCCTGTTCCAAATCGCTTTCCTAATTCGGGACTATGGCCTAAGGATAGATTATCATAAGGTTTGGGGCCTTTGGAAGAGAGAGATATCTAAACCTATTTATGTATAGATAATGTAAATGAGGTGATTCGGGAGTTGGGTCGTGTCTTGAAGCCAAAGGGGTATATCGGTAAAGTGACAATTCGATCCCTTTATGGGTTTTGGGTTTTATTCGGAATGTTGTAAGGCTAGGGCGTGTTGTTAGGGGTGTAGGGCTTCTCACCACCTTACAGACCTAGAATAAGGGAGTTATGATAGTTTGAAGGCTTTGGCAGTTTTGGTCCCTGGGTGGGAAAAGCTGTATTTATGCATGCATGCAAAGGTGATAAACAATGAGTACGCTCAGTGTAATCTAGGAACGCCCGACGTAGTGTTGTATAAGTGAAACGCGGATGCAAAGATGTACGCCCAACGTATAGGGAGTAGGCCCAACGTACGTCCAGGATCTCCAAAACCCTAATTTTTAGGGTTGGCTCACTATTTAAAGCACCTTAAGTCCAAGGGAGTGCACCTCTCTTTCATTCTCAGAGCCTTAAACCCTAAATTTGAGTGGTCGCTTCACCCAAGAGTGTTGTGAGCTTTGTGGGTGCATTTTGGGTGGTTTTTTTGGTGCATTTCAAAAAGTAGAAGCTCAATACAAGGTGGTGGTTTAAGGGAGGGCTTGTAGATCGGGACTCATTGCTACATTTTCAACCCAAAGAAGGTAAAAAGATCTGAGCTTGATCACTAGATGTTGTTATGTATGAATATGTTGGTTTTTGGTGCCTTTTGGCCTCATGAGCAAGATCTAGTGGGTAGACACCACTTTAGGAGCTTTGAGTTGCCACTCTTAGCATTCCAGAGGTTATAAGCCCATAAAGTTGCAATCTTTGAAGCTAGAAACCATTCATGCATGTCCTAGATAAGTATTATTGGGTTAAGTTAGTCATTAAGACCCTTTGAACAATGAAAATGCATAAAGGTGCCAACTTTGTGCATTAAGAGCTTCATTTGGTGGTTCTATGAAGTTTAGATCTTAACTGATTAAGTTATAAAAATAGTTTGGAAGTTCTGCGAGTACGCCCCGCGTAAGTCGATGTACGCCCCGCGTACAGAGTCAACCATCCCGTAGATGGTCAATGTGAGGGGAGGGTATGCCCAATGTACAATAGGTACACCTCTGTTTGGGGTTTCGGACTTTGGGCTTCGGGTTTGGGTCATCTGTTTGGGCCTAGATTCTTAGACCCAAATGGACTAGTTGGTTGGTTGTGTTTTAGGCTAATTGAAGGATTCTGTAGCGCTCGAGATTTATGAGGTATTAAATTTGTATTTATTTAAGGAAAATAATTTTATGAGTTCGGAATTGGGCCTTTTGGGCCTTCATGAAAAAGCTGATGACGGACAAACGCAGGGTGTAACCCCCATGTACCCCAGCGTAATCAAGATCCAAGATGCGGGCTTAAACGCGTACACCCATCGTACCAAAGGGTACGCGCAACGTACGTGTGCAATGTTTTTAACCTTAATTTTGGGGACTTATCTCTATATAAAGGATGTTATGACCTTGGACCACCCTCGCTAACTCCCTTAAGCAGTCATCTCGAAAACCCTAGCCTACTTTTGTGTGTTCTTAGCCATTTGAGAGCATTTGGTGTAGTTTTAGGGGAATTAGAAGAAAAAGGAACTTGAAGAAGGAGCAAGGATCCACCAAAGCTTGTGAATCCAGAAGAGTAGCACCATTTCTGACTTAGTTGAGGTATCAAGTTCCAATCTTGGCCATTATTTTCTTAGATTTGTTGTTGGAATGTTTAAAGTTACTTTTGGACTCCATTGTTGAGAGTTCTTGCATCTTGACAACTTCAGACCATAATATATGTCCTTTTGGACTCCTAGAGGCACTATGAGTCATAAAAATCAGATCTTGATGGTTAAGCAACAACCATGCAAGGGTTAGTGAGTTTTGGGGCTAGTTAGATGGACCAAAGTCATGTTTTGACCCCAACCTTGTATGCATGCACATAAAGTTCATGACTTTATGGTTTAAGATGTCTTAAATGACCTGGATCTACAGTTTGGACGAAAGGCTTACTGGATTAAGTCAAAAATTAAGCTTTTAGGGAACTGGCCAGTACGCTGGGCGTACTCCCCGTTACACGTCGCGTACTGGGTCAAATCCTCAATCTCTGGTCAAGGCAGTGTATGTTGGGCGTATATGCCCGTTACACCGTGTGTACACCTGCAGTTCAAGAACTAAAGGACTTTTGGGCCTCATGGCCCACTGTGAAGCATGATTTTGGACTTGAGGACTTAGGACTCGAGTATTGGGCCTTCTTAGGCCAAGTTGGGCCCTTGATAATTATTATGTTGGACTTGGATATCTTGGTCCCATTTAGGGAATAAAGCCCAATTCGGTAAATGGTCAGTTAATAGGCCCTTAAGGAATCCTTAAAGGGGCCACATGAGAGTTAGGCTTAATAAGTTAGATTTGGGACTTCGGTATGTCTAGTTGGGTCAAAGGGGTAAAATTGTCATTTTACCCTAAGATTAGTTATCAGCTTCTGATTACGTGTCTTTATGGAAATTATAGTCGGAGTGTCGCCGGAGCAGCCGCAGATAGAGATTTCTCACCCAGTTTATCAGCAATCACTTGTACAAGGTGAGTTACCTTCCAGTAGCCATGGATCTAAGACCATAATATCGTCAGCCGCAGATAGAGATTTCTCACCCATTTCATCAATCTCTCAACCCTCGGATTGAAATTGAACCGAAGTGAGTCATGGCAATAACATGTATACGTGGTACACAAGTTTCAATTATTCGACAAACACTATGATACGTGTTGCCTCAAAGATTACTTTACATGCATGCACAAAACGGTGGGGATATGTTTGTTTTTTTTTTTCTTTTCTTTTCATTTTCTTTTTTTGTCTATTTGTGGATAAGACGACACACATCGTCCCCATAAAACCCGCAACTACATGTACTCGATCTCCATTGCTTCCATACTATTCGACTCTCTAAAACTAACGTATAGCGTCTTTTCAAATTTCAATCATCTTCAATCAAAAATGCAAGAAATACATGACGAACTCGGCCGTCCTATTCAGCTTACCGACGAGTTTGGCCGCCCTGTTCAACTCACCGACGAGCATGGTGTTCCCGTCAAACTCACCGGCGTCGCCACTACTCAGGGTCACAATCATACCACCATTGGATCAGAGCTTCATGACAAGATCACACCCGGCGTCGCCACCACTGATCAGGGTCATAATCACACCACCATTGGATCAGAGCTTCGTCACAAGACGATGCATGACCAGACAACCGACATCACCATGGGCTCCGAGACGCATGGTGGAACCCACTTCGCTCCGACACCGATCGATTACCTAAAACGTGGCGCCGGTGCAGTCGCTGGTGCCGGTGCAGCAACTGTGGGTGCGGCAGCCGGAGCTGCCAAGGGTGCTGTTACTGGCGGTGGAGCACCGGTGAGCCATACCCAGGCTCATGGTGTTGCAGGTGGCGATGAGAAACAGCTGGAACATGAATCACCCAGCTCTAGCTCCCCTTCGGTAAGATCAAGCATTCAAACTAATTTAATTTTCAGGTTCGATTTTTATAAGCTGCTTGTTTAAAAAACATTGGTTGGCAGTCGGAAGATGACGGAGAAGGAGGGAGGAGGAAGAAGAAAGGTTTGATGCAGAAAATTAAAGAGAAACTTCCTGGACGCCACAAGAAAGAGGAGAAGCAGGCAACCGCACACAGCGCCAACACCAAAGTAAGCAGCGCCGGCGGAGGTCCGGCGGGTATAAGGGTGGAGCATCATGACGAGAAGAAAGGTCCTATGGATAAGATCAAAGAGAAACTTCCCGGCACTCACTGATCTACTCTAGTAATTTTTATCAAATTATCATCCGTTTTCTATTACATGTGTGTTTACGTGGGTGTGTATCTACAGTGTGTAGCTGGATTTTAGATTTTCAATACTATTTGTTGTAATAACTGAGAGAATTCTGTACGAGGTGTATTATAGTATTAAATGTCTTGCTATTTGTATAGCAACGTGTATGTTATGCTATTATTTGTTTTTATATGGTTGTCCGTATAAGGTGGTGTCTTCTCTTAAATTCTAAATTTTATTAAGGGAAAATGATTTAAAAGCCCAACGAAAGCTTCCAAACCATTTAAAAAAATTCAATCATGTTTTGTCTGTTCAAAAAAATCCAACGAACTTAACATTTTGTCTAAAAAATCCAACAAAGTTCCAAACCGTTCAAAACATCCTAATTTTGTTTTGTTTAAGTTCGTTAGGTTTTTTTTTAATAGTCAAAACATTATTGGAGTTTTTTAAACGTTTTGAAAACTTCGTTGGTCTAACAAGTCATTTTTCCGACACGGTAATAAGTCACGTCATATGTTTCTCTTATTTGACTTTCAGGAAAGTGTAACTTAGTTGGGGTTTTTAGAAAAAATGTTAAGTTTGTTGGGTTTTTTTAAACAGACAAAACATGATTCGGTTTTTTTGAACGGTTTGAAAACTTCGTTGGGCTCGTAAGTCATTTTCCCTTTTATTAAAGTTTGATAAATTTACATATTTTTATTTTCCTTTCTATACAAATTTATTAAAAGATTTCTACAAATCATTGAATTCTTCAAAAAGTTTATTGTATTGGCTTTTTTTTTCAGGTTGTCATTGAAATCTATATCGATTAAATATTAACATAACTTATAATAATAATAATAAAGTTTAATATATTGAATTTGAAAATTTTATAATAACATAATACGGAATGTCAATTAAACATATCATTGAATTATGTTTTTTCAATTTGAATATTTTATAATAATAGAATATTGAATGTCTTCAATTAAACATTCTACTGAAAGCAATGTTATTGAAGGTAGAATTTCATATATCTTTTCTGCTAAACATCTAAATATAGTATCTGTTTAGCCTAAAATTTAAATATCGTATTTGCCGTTTTTAATGTTTTTTAATATCATATATACCCAAATTTACTTTTTTGATCATTTTTATTGGTTTATAATTCTTTTTCATAATCTTAAATTATTAAAATTAAAAAAATATTTTAAATAGACAAATATTCCCCTTAGTTCTAAATTTCATTACAATACAGCATATCACGTTGAAATTAATTATGATTTCAATCTGGATTCTTTCATATCGTTGTCATTTACTTACGATCGCACCAACCTCCTATTTCTCTTATTTTCAAGGCCTCTTACATTCAACTACATCACCGATATAAGCTTAAATTTCAGAAACAAAACCAACCAAAACTCCATAACTTTAGACGTAAAATGCATCGGTAATGACTTGAAACTATTAATCATGGTTAACAGGGGAAGTTTGGGTATAACCGGTGTTGTAAAACTCAGTCTACTCAGCGGAGTATTCGGAATCGGCCCTCCACCGAGGCGAGTTTTGTAAACTCGGCAAAAAAAAATTTGGATTAAGTCAAAATCGGTCAACCTCAGTAAAAACTCGGTCAATATCCCTCTAACTCGGGCCTACTCGGTCAACAAAGTCAAACTCGGTCAAACTCGGTAATAAGCCACGTCATATGTTTCTCTTATTTGACTTTCAGGAAAGTGTAACTTAGTTGGGGTTTTTAGAAAAAATGTTAAGTTTGTTGGGTTTTTTTAAACAGACAAAACATGATTGGGTTTTTTTGAACGGTTTGAAAACTTCGTTGGGCTCGTAAGTAATTTTCCCTTTTATTAAAGTTTGATAAATTTACATATTTTTATTTTCCTTTCTATACAAATTTATTAAAAGATTTCTACAAATCATTGAATTCTTTAAAAAGTTTATTGTATTGGCTTTTTTTTCAGGTCGTCATTGAAATCTATATCGATTAAATATTAACATATCTTATAGTAATAATAATAAAGTTTAATATATTGAATTTGAAAATTTTATAATAACATAATACGGAATGTCAATTAAACATGTAATTGAATTATGTTTTTTCAATTTGAATATTTTATAATAATAGAATATTGAATGTCTTCAATTAAACATGCTACTGAAAGCAATGTTATTGAAGGTAGAATTTCATATATCTTTTCGCTAAACATCTAAATATAGTATCTGTTTAGCCTAAAATTTAAATATCGTATTTGTCGTTTTTAATGTTTTTTAATATCATATATACCTAAATTTACTTTTTTGATCATTTTTATTGGTTTATAATTCTTTTTCATAATCTTAAATTATTAAAATTAAAAAAATATTTTAAATAGATAAATATTCCCCTTAGTTCTAAATTTCATTACAATACAGCATATCACGTTGAAATTAATTATGATTTCAACCTGGATTCTTTCATATCGTTGTCATTTACTTACGATCGCACCAACCTCCTATTTCTCTTATTTTCAAGGCCTCTTACATTCAACTACATCACCGATAGAAGCTTAAATTTCAGAAACAAAACCAACCAAAACTCCATAACTTTAGACGTAAAATGCATCGGTAATGACTTGAAACTATTAATCATGGTTAACAGGGGAAGTTTCGGTATAACCGGTGTTGTAAAACTCAGTCTACTCAGCGGAGTATTCGGAATCGGCCCTCCACCGAGGCGAGTTTTGTAAACTCGGCAAAAAAAAATTTGGATTAAGTCAAAATCGGTCAACCTCAGTAAAAACTCGGTCAATATCCCTCTAACTCGGGCCTACTCGGTCAACAAAGTCAAACTCGGTCAAACTCGGTAATAAGCCACGTCATATGTTTCTCTTATTTGACTTTCAGGAAAGTGTAACTTAGTTGGGGTTTTTAGAAAAAATGTTAAGTTTGTTGGGTTTTTTAAACAGACAAAACATGATTGGGTTTTTTTGAACGGTTTGAAAACTTCGTTGGGCTCGTAAGTAATTTTCCCTTTTATTAAAGTTTGATAAATTTACATATTTTTATTTTCCTTTCTATACAAATTTATTAAAAGATTTCTACAAATCATTGAATTCTTTAAAAAGTTTATTGTATTGGCTTTTTTTTCAGGTCGTCATTGAAATCTATATCGATTAAATATTAACATATCTTATAGTAATAATAATAAAGTTTAATATATTGAATTTGAAAATTTTATAATAACATAATACGGAATGTCAATTAAACATGTAATTGAATTATGTTTTTTCAATTTGAATATTTTATAATAATAGAATATTGAATGTCTTCAATTAAACATGCTACTGAAAGCAATGTTATTGAAGGTAGAATTTCATATATCTTTTCGCTAAACATCTAAATATAGTATCTGTTTAGCCTAAAATTTAAATATCGTATTTGTCGTTTTTAATGTTTTTTAATATCATATATACCTAAATTTACTTTTTTGATCATTTTTATTGGTTTATAATTCTTTTTCATAATCTTAAATTATTAAAATTAAAAAAATATTTTAAATAGATAAATATTCCCCTTAGTTCTAAATTTCATTACAATACAGCATATCACGTTGAAATTAATTATGATTTCAACCTGGATTCTTTCATATCGTTGTCATTTACTTACGATCGCACCAACCTCCTATTTCTCTTATTTTCAAGGCCTCTTACATTCAACTACATCACCGATAGAAGCTTAAATTTCAGAAACAAAACCAACCAAAACTCCATAACTTTAGACGTAAAATGCATCGGTAATGACTTGAAACTATTAATCATGGTTAACAGGGGAAGTTTCGGTATAACCGGTGTTGTAAAACTCAGTCTACTCAGCGGAGTATTCGGAATCGGCCCTCCACCGAGGCGAGTTTTGTAAACTCGGCAAAAAAAAATTTGGATTAAGTCAAAATCGGTCAACCTCAGTAAAAACTCGGTCAATATCCCTCTAACTCGGGCCTACTCGGTCAACAAAGTCAAACTCGGTCAAACTCGGTAATAAGCCACGTCATATGTTTCTCTTATTTGACTTTCAGGAAAGTGTAACTTAGTTGGGGTTTTTAGAAAAAATGTTAAGTTTGTTGGGTGTTTTTAAACAGACAAAACATGATTGGGTTTTTTTGAACGGTTTGAAAACTTCGTTGGGCTCGTAAGTCATTTTCCCTTTTATTAAAGTTTGATAAATTTACATATTTTTATTTTCCTTTCTATACAAATTTATTAAAAGATTTCTACAAATCATTGAATTCTTTAAAAAGTTTATTGTATTGGCTTTTTTTTCAGGTCGTCATTGAAATCTATATCGATTAAATATTAACATATCTTATAGTAATAATAATAAAGTTTAATATATTGAATTTGAAAATTTTATAATAACATAATACGGAATGTCAATTAAACATGTAATTGAATTATGTTTTTTCAATTTGAATATTTTATAATAATAGAATATTGAATGTCTTCAATTAAACATGCTACTGAAAGCAATGTTATTGAAGGTAGAATTTCATATATCTTTTCGCTAAACATCTAAATATAGTATCTGTTTAGCCTAAAATTTAAATATCGTATTTGTCGTTTTTAATGTTTTTTAATATCATATATACCTAAATTTACTTTTTTGATCATTTTTATTGGTTTATAATTCTTTTTCATAATCTTAAATTATTAAAATTAAAAAAATATTTTAAATAGATAAATATTCCCCTTAGTTCTAAATTTCATTACAATACAGCATATCACGTTGAAATTAATTATGATTTCAACCTGGATTCTTTCATATCGTTGTCATTTACTTACGATCGCACCAACCTCCTATTTCTCTTATTTTCAAGGCCTCTTACATTCAACTACATCACCGATAGAAGCTTAAATTTCAAAAACAAAACCAACCAAAACTCCATAACTTTAGACGTAAAATGCATCGGTAATGACTTGAAACTATTAATCATGGTTAACAGGGGAAGTTTGGGT